GCCAGTCCAACCGCAAAAGCATTATACTTCATTTACTGTTTTACCACAGGTTTGGTGAATTATGTTGGTAAAAAATACGAAATTATGAAAAAAAAACTGCTATTTACGGTGCTTTCAGCCTCTAGAAATATGTGCCTTGTAGAAGACTGTATAAACAAACGAGTTGCATATACACACTTGGATTGCTTATGTGCGACAGTGCGTGTGCCAGTCTTTCTGTGTATGCTTTGTAGGGGCAATGTAGCTAGACATTCGTACAGGAGGTTTCTCAAGAACCACCCTGAGTCTGATTTGGCATCTTCTTATAGTTCACTTTCGTTGAACAGTGGGTGACTCAATTTCAGCAGACATGTCGTACATGGGACAAATATAAGTACATGCATGCGTGCCTCAACCACACTCACCGTACAAACATAATTACCCTGCATTCGGTTCCGCTTGCAACGTCCACGTACAAGTACCCTGTGAACTGCTCCTCCATTCCTAATACAACTATCGTATCACATGCCTCGACTGTCTCTCAAAATGAGAAGGGTAACTAATACAATTCTCATACTAATACTAATGCTACAATACAACAAATAGTCATACTAGTAAGGACACCAACACGGATACTAACATTAATACAAATACTATGCTAACTACTAAGCCTAAAACACTGGTGTGCCATATGCGTGTGACACGAATCCTACGTATGCTGATACTAATACTACTACTAGAACTTTGACTAATACCAATACCACTCCTCCTCCTCCTCCTCCTCCTCCTCCTCCTCCTGCTCCTCCTGCCTCCTGCTGCTGCTGCTGCTGCTGCTGCTGCTGCTGCCGCGGCTGCTGCTGCTGCTGCTGCTGCTGCTGCGCCTGCTGCTGCTGCTGCTGCTGCTGCTGCTGCTGCTGCTGCTGCTGCTGCTGCTGCTGCGACTAATAATGGCAATACTGACTACTCACTACTAACCCTGAACCCCCAAACCGATGCTTGCGCCGGGCGTGCATAGCACTAATACTAACAGTAATGCTGATACTAGTACTGGTGCTCATACTCATACTCATAATGAAACTGATAGTGTACTATTAGTACTAATACTAATACTGAAACTCGTACCACCAACCCTAAACCCCAAAAAAAATGCGCGTGCCTGGCGCGTGCGACACTAACACTAACACGAACACTCATACTGATACCATTACTAATGCTCATCATATACTCATACTAATACGAATACTAATTGTCATATACTACCTACTATGCTCAAAACCCTAAACCGATGTGCGCGGCGGGCGCGCGCAAAACTAGCATTGCTAATAAAATACTAAATCTAATACTGATACTAACGCTGACACTCATACTAATACTGATGCTAGCACTAATACTAATACCAATACTACTACTGATGCTACTACTACTACTACTACTACTACTTCTACTAATCCTAATACTAATTTACTAATACTTACTACATGTATTAACCCTCGGCCCGGACCAGGGGGAAAACAGGGGGATTGGTTATGTTTTTAATCTCTAGGATTCTAGGTGCTTCCGTGGTGCCAGCAAAGCGGGCAAGTGGGGTAAGTGCAAGTGGGGTAAGTCGGGCAAGTGGGGCAAGATGACAAAGGTGACGCACCAGACCCCCCCCCCAACCCATAAATCCACAACAGCAAGATGATAAGCGATAAGATAACAAGATTGCCAAGATGAGCGATCATCTTGACCCCCCCAGGCGACCAAGATGAGAATATTGCCAAGATGACCGGTCATTTTGCCGCTCCAAGATGACCAAGATTGCCAAGGGGACGAGCAAGATGACCAAGATTACCAGAGAGCAAGTTAACCAAGATGGCCGCAACAAGTAGCGGCAACATTTTCCCGCCACAGTGTAACATCAAGACGGGTTAAGTCCAGATGTGCTTCCTTGGGCACTTCCGTGAATTTGATTCTGCATCGTGATCTAGGTTTTCCTGTCCGATGAGTTGATGCGTTGATGAACCGCAGCGTCAAAAATTGGAAGCCACCATCGATGTCGAAGGACAAGTACCCGTGTCTGACAGCCCTGCCCTGACGACAGGCGGCTACGGACACGACGAAGGTTGTCAGACGGCGGGGCAGCAAAAGGGTAAACTTTCAGCTCTGAAAAGGCACACAGAGACAGTTTGATGCATGTTGACGCCGTCAGTCTGTGATCCTTCCCCCTCCTGTAAACTGTCAAGCTGCCGTGCGGAGACTCCCCATAACGCGCTTCATAAATCACTGATCAAAAGGAGCATGTCCGTCCTTCCAGGCCGTGTTCATGCTGCCGTAGGTGTCCTGATGCTGAGTTCAACATGCCGGTACAAGAGCTGGGTTCGAAAGAACATCTTGCCCCATTTTGGAGTCCTGCAGCCAGGAACTCCAGTCCACCACAGCCTCCTGTACCGCAAATGCGTCGTACTGCCTGAGGGAGGAGCCACATGACCAATTTCGTTGCAACCCTTGCTTTCGGTGCTTTGCGGCAGAGATGCTTGCAGGCGGTAAGTTTTGCCCTGCTGCAGTCTTCCACCTAGCATTTCCAAAGGCCCATGTTCCAGCATGCTACACAAGTAGTTGTGATTGCCAGACGAGGCAGCCAAACTGCTACCCTTAGAGCATTTGCAGGTTTTGACCGACGGGATGTTTGGCAATGTAGTCCGGAGCAAGAAGCATCAAGTTTTGATGGCGACCTTTTGGCACTACGCTTACTTCATTGCCTGCGCCACACGCTGCGAGCGGGTACAAAAACTTCTGACTGTTCCACTGCACTTGTTGAAATGCTGGCGCAAGTCAGCCGCGCAGCAGCCTCGGGGCCCTAGCCCTAGACACGATGCAGGGGCATTGGTAAAGTGCCCAAACGGGTTGCAGCTTCAATGGGCTGGCGGATGCGTCTGCAAAAACTCGTGGGACTGCTGCCGCGGCTATGCCCAGTTGCCACTCGACCGCCGCAGGTCCGTGGAAGTGATTCGCAAAGTTTGCTTAGCTGCCGTTTCATGTCATCCAGCATGGTCTCACAGTTTTGAAGTCTAAGACTACGGATGCTTGAATTCAGGGCCAGGGATGTTCATATACTGCAACATTCGCTCTCTGTACTGCCCCCGCCCCCCGCCCCGCGCCCCACTGCTTTGGGCCTTTGCATAGCGATACCTTGGTCAATTTGCAGCTGCGTGCTACATTTGGGACTCGCGTGCCTTGTAAGGATGCTGCACAAGATGCAGAAGCTGCGGGTACAAATCTCTATTCCGAACCTGCGTGATGCACTGGGTAGCAGCAGGACTACAATCAAATAGACAAGAAGACTGAAGAGGTCCCAGGCGCCTGGAATGTCAAAGGTGCCAATGTGGTTCCTTTGAAAGCCACTTTCTCTTTCTCTGCCTGAATGACATGTCGGAAAGAGTCCCCAAATTTAGTGCAAGTCAGACCGTGAGGCAGGCGTGAAGCAGTGATGATCAGGCGGGTTGCCCGCCTTGCTGCCTGAGAAGTTGATCTGCAGACCCTGAGGAACATGGGACGAACGAAAAAAACTGTGGTATCTGACGCTGTGCTAAATGCAAGCGACAATTTGAATGAACCCTTGCTCGATGCTACTACTGTGCGCCTCATCACTTCCGAATCTCCTGGCCGTCACGAATCCGAATAAGTAGAGCCTGGAGCTTCCTCTTTTGGCACTTCTGCGGGTCCTCTGATCGTCCACCACTCCTGACGGCCTTGGTCACGGGCACAAGGAGCCAAGACAACTGGTGCGCCGTTCCGAGATCATCACCCGACAAGCTGCTTGCTTCCGAGCATGACGAGCCAATCCTCGAGGCATCCAAGAAAGTTCCAAATTCTCTCGGTAGCTTCTGCTAGGCGAAGATCTCGGAATATCTCGCCGCCAGGCTGCCACTTGACTACCAGGAACTTCGGGCTGCAAGGAGACCTGTGGAGATATCAAAAGTGAAGGACCTGGCATTCCCCAACAAGATTTGGGGCCTCGAAGTCTGTGACGCCCAATGGCAGCACAAAAACCTTACCACACTGCATCTACTACCAGCCACTACCTAGTCACTTCCACAACCGGGAGCCAGGCAGCGCTCGTCTCGCCGGCCGGGGCAAGGTATCTAGCTTCCAAGGCCACCCCTGACCTGGCGACTTCGCGGCGACTTCGCGGGGCGAGGGCCGCAAGTTCAACCTCTCAAGCCGACAAGGCCTGGCACAGTCGAAGTGGACCGGGGCCACCTGTACATAACCCGGTGGGCCTTGGCGTCGTAGGGACGCGAACAAAGAGAACGAATCGAAGCTGCCAGCTGAGTGAAGCACAGGGCTGCCTCAGAAGCCCTGCTGCTCTCAAACCCTGTGCGCATACCGCACGACCGAATCGCGTGACATGAAACGCACACCATGCAGTCACCTTCAGGTTGAGAAAGAGCACAAGGTAAACTCGCAGAACACCTCAGAGGGCTGCATCCTGCTTCATCACACAGGCCAGATCCTTCTAACCTCGCGCTCGTCTACAACACTGGAGCTTTGCGGGAGTACTAGACCCAGACGTGGCCTGACACACTCTATTTGAGTCTGGGCGTCAGCCTAAGCCTTCGAAGCCATTGGAAAGCCAGTCGAAATCAAACACCCGAGCCGAAGTATCTGAGAGAAGCTCTGTCCATCATGGCCGCAAAAGCTTTGGCAGCCGCTACACAGGAGAAGCTAGTCCGGCCTGCGTTTCTTACTTCCTGCATGGATCATCTTTGTCATCTCGTGTCGTCAGCCGGAGTGACTTTTTGAAGGAATTCAGAATGAGCATGGAACCTTCCAATAACCGCACGAAACGAAGACCAAGTAGACATGCTGATGCTTGGAATGTTTTGCTGAAGAGGAACGTCAGCCACATCAGAGCGTGAACTGCGGGGGTCTCAAGACAGCAAGGGTGTAGCCAGACTTTCTGAGGCGTGCGGAGCAGTGCAGGGCTGACTTTTCTCCGCAAGATAGCATGGGGCCATCTGCCGCTGTGGCCGGCCCTCTTACGAGTTGTTCTTTGGCCGTGCCGCAGCTTTTGCTTCCTGAGCACCAAGTATCTTACAGACACCGCCTCGGAGCCTCGCACATCCTCGCAGATCCTGGCAGACTCTCAGGCCCTGGCCTGCTGCCTTGCAAAGCTGGAGTCATCCTGCGCCGCTCGTCAGGTCGCAGGACCCAGGGCAAACTGATGTCAGTTGCTGTTTCCTTCTTCAACCTACTCAGCAGGAGTGCGGTTTGTGTTTAGAAAAAACGGATCTGCAGACTAGCTTAACTTAGCTGACTCGAAAAATCTCTTCACTTGTTGCTTGGCTTCGGCTGTGTCGAGTGTTCGGCTGATCGGCTTGGCTTAGGTTGGCCACGCCGTCGAAAATCGTACTGACCTTGTGGCTCAGCAATAAGAGCTGAGGATCTGACTGCAAAGACCGCGCTGAGCTTGTTTCCATCGATCTGCAGGCCAGGGAAGCGAAGCCCACTCGCTGCGACAGTGTTATCCCATGCCGCTGCTCCAGACTCCATTGTCACAACCACACCATGTCTCCGAATGAGGTGGTTTATTTCAGTTTTCAGCTTGACTCCGAAGTACTTCTTATAGCTACAGCACTGCACATGTACAAGGTCACATCGCTTGGACTTGATGCATGCTTGCCTCTGCTCCATGGACGTGCTGTTGGCTCTTTTTCGCATTGACTTTGCGGCAGTACGCCACAAGCAGCTTCCTGTCAAGAGCGGCACTGTAATACAAGTGGATAGATTCAACAGTTTGCCATGCACATGACTGCGGCGTACCAAAGGCAAGCCGGATCCGGACCTCTTGCCACCTTTGTTTTTGTTCGCACCCAAGATGGTGCGTAGCTCACCGAATCGAGCGAAGTACCTGCCCACGTCAGATGCGATGGTCTGGCTCACATTCTCACCTTCTGTGGGTGCACTGGGTGATCTGTTGGAGATCCCAGAGTGGAAATCCAGTAACAACAAGCGCCTCAAGCAGAGCAAGATAAAGACCCTCCATGACAAAAAGCCGGCATGGGAAAAATACGAGACAGCTTGCGGAAGTCGCACTGAGCCAGCGACATGAGACATCTTGACTGTCCCCTTCCCTGCTTTCGCCTGGAGATGAAGACACCGTGCGGCACTGTTTCCAACAGCCAAACAAGTCAAGCTCAAGCATCAAACAACAGACTTGCACCTTGGAAGCAGGTGCAGATGGAGTAGCTTCCTGGCCAGAGACCCCGGCCCCATCCAGCGAAACCAAGGTACCAAAACTCTCAACCCTTCCCAAGCTTCGCGAGGTCGGCCCCTGCAGCATCGCCTTCGGCCTCTTGCGCTTTTCTTTGTCCTGGTCCCTCAGCTGATCTTTTGGTCTTGTCCTGTGCTTCTGCCCGGGTGTCGTCAATTGCTTCGTCAATTGACATCTCTGTCCCTTTGTTTTGCTTCTCCGTCTCTTCACGATCGGGAGCATCATCAAAAGCTTCATCATCAACTACTTCAGCCTCTGCCGCTGTGCTTTTTGCGTCGGCTCCATCACTTTCCGCGCCCCTGGGCATGCTCTCTGCTTTGTCGTCCGCGAGAGATTCTGCCTGCCAAGGCTGCATCCCAGGCTTTCGACAGTAGGCAACAGATTCACGACTCACATAGCAACCTTACAAGAAGTCAAACAGAAATTCTGCAACGAGCCTGCTCCGGTAACCAGAGCGGGAGAAGATTCGCAGCTGACACCAGGATTTCGTTGTCCTGAATGACCAGCGGAAAATGCTGCGAGTTCATGCCTGGTGCTTGATATCATCAAGCCATGCTCTCGCCTTGCTTCTATCACCAGAACGGTTTCCTCTCTAGCCCTCCAAAGCTTGATCTATCTATCTAACTATCTACATATACATATACATATTTGTACATATATACTTATACATAACATGTACATGTACATGTACATAGCCATACATGTATATATATATATGCAGACATATGGATATCATAAATACACGAAAAGCTATATATATATACATATATCTATATTCTTACTGATTTTTTGTTTACTTAGATATAGATACCGACAGAGAGAGGCAGAGAGACAGAGAGAGAGAGAGAGAGAGTCTTTCAACTGTTGAGCTGTTTCAATTTGCGGGTGCACTGTGCACTAACCCAAGAGCTGCGCGAACCACATACCCACACAAGCACCGACGAGTCTCACGCTACCCGCAGCTGGAAGCATCCCGAAGCCAATTTCATGCTCTGCATGTCCTCTGATTCTATGTCCAAACGGACAAGCCATCGGCGAGACTCCTCGTGAGCCGGTGGAAAGGTGGGAACGCAACAGCTTCTCCCATGCCCCAGTGTCATGCAGCATCCATGTGAGTCCTGGTCGTATCTTACGATACTGCACGGACTGCCATTGAGCTCTGTCTGCGACCTGTAATGTGTTATGCTAACTTGCAAGTCAACATTTCAACCACCACATGCTTCGCGCCTCAGGCCATGAAGGGCTCCCCGCTCTTCAGCTTGAAACTGATGCTGTGACAGTGCCTTGGGGACCTGGACCCAGATGCACCGCTCCGATGCCGCGTAACCGTCGAGCATGTTTGCCTACCTCATGGGAATCCTTCCTGGTTGCCAACACAACACGAAGTCCTGCACAATCACACTGCATACTGTGCGTATCGGTCCGTTTGCCCGAACACCGTGTCCTTCTCTTGCGAGATTGCTGGTTCTAAGCCTGCCAAACGCATGTGCAAATCAAGGCCAGTGTGCAAGTGCTGACAAAGATCACGAAATTACGTTTCATTCGTCCAGCCGCGCACCGTGCTGCGAGGAGTGCGGGAATGCTGCTCGTCTGTAACAGGCACACCCAAATGCCGCTGTGATCCTGGCACCGTCCATCGAGAGTTGTGCTACTCAAGGAAAATTCTCAGCCCCACCTTGACAAGCCGCAGTCTGTCGCAGTCACACACGGGACCAAAGCAGACTTGCCTGGGATTCATGCCGCCCTTTGCCATTGCATTGAGAAGCAAGTCGTACGAAGGTCACAAGTCTGAGGTCGTGGCAGCTCTGCTTCTCTCCAGCTTGTCGGAAATCCGACCTGCCACTCATGGTGTGCAACTCGCGAGGTGCCAGCTCGAATCCTGAGAAGCTGACGATGGCCACATCGGCTGAGGGATCCTAGGGTCAGTTTCTGCAGGCTCTCAGTCAAGGTGGACACTACGAAAAGGCCTGTTCTAGAATCCGCTCTGCAGCATCCTGCAGAAAGGAAGCTGATCCAGAATCATCTGAGACGACATGGGTGGGAGCATTAGTTCACAAGCGTCCCCGGCCTCGTACAAACGGTGCACTCTTGCGCCTGGCATCGCACTGGGCTCCAGCACCGCGATGAGCCTTGCCAGAAAGCATCTGCATCAGAAGCCACGAGAACATGTACCATGGATCTCGAGGAGGTGTTCAGTAGAAGAATTGCTCAGCAACGGGCAACTGCGCGATGACACGAGATCATCCACTGCAGTTTCCAAGGACTTCCCTGCATTCACAATGACAGAATCGCACAGGCGATTCTAGTACGTTCAGTAGGTCTAAGTTCGTTATCAAGCAGATCAGGCCAGCACCCGAAGTGCCCTGGAAGCATTGGCAGAGTGAATTTTCTCTGTGTTTCGACGCCCGTGAAAGCTAGCTTTGCTGTTCTGGGCTTTGGGGTTTAATTCTAAGTTGGTTTGCGGGTGAAGTCTGGGGCTGCAGGTTCGGCTTGTCTTGGATCGTGTGGTGGCTTTGGAGGAAGTCTTAGGCGACGCTACGGCTTTCTGGTCGATTGATCCGCCGGCAAGTCCCCTGAGCTCTTTGAGCCGTCTGCGAGCGACGTCCCAAGATGCTTGCTCCCCGCAAAAGCAGATGATGGCCACACTTCCGATGCCTTTTGTGAGAAGTTGAATCAATACGGGATCCTACTAGCGTAACCGCAGTCTGGGCGTGCGGGAGAGCCAATGCAGTGTGCAATCATTATATGATCGAAGGTCAACTGACACAATCAAGCGGAGATCCCAGCAATCACCGGTCTCCAAATGCCGGCTGCCAGAGACTGCGGGTCTTGAAGGTATTCTCAAGACCTTTGGCAAAATATATATACTTAAGCGTCTGAGTCAAACCGCTTCAGACTTATCGAAAATTCAAACGGCCGGGCTTCTCGAAAGATCACGAGCAAACACAAGCAAATCGAGCGAGCAAGTACTCAGAATTTGCTGGGCTCTTGCCACTCATGATCTGAATCGGCCTGAGGTGCAACATTGTGCAAACACTAAGCAAGAGTCCTGCGACAACGTGTTCCCAGTTGGCCTGCCCACAGATCACCACTTGACGGGTAGTCTCCTGAACACTCGAAGTCGCTGAAAATTGCTGTATTGCGAAATACTTTGAAGACTGAAGCTGCCCTTCCCCCCTTCCAGCGCGGCAGGGCGCAGGGCGAAATTGACATAGCTAGCTTTAGAGCTCCGGCACTGCTTTGTGGGAAGGACGATGCCACCTGAACCTGCAAAACTGCAGAACACAGATGTCCTCCCCTCGCAGCCATGGGTCGAAAATGAGCTGAATCTCCTGCTGCCACTGTCATGAAAAGTTCGGTCCAGTAGGAATGTGGCCTCGGCCCTTGATCCTCCAGCGTCTCCCCCCTTGTCTCTGGCATCACTACACCTCATATGCAGAGTCTCAGCTGCAAGAACAGTGCAGCTAGAAGCAGTTAGAAGCACCAAGGAAAGTACTGGCAAATGCACCGAGCGCATTGAACACCGCAAAGATCCAAAACCTGAGTTTGAGCTGTAATCCGTCGCAGATGAAGCAGTCTTGGCTGCTGACCAACTTTCTTAAGCGCGGAACTTGTGGAAACCTAGTGATGGTAGCAGCAGTTCTGATGCCCTGATCACGCTGTAGAAGCCGACCTTTGGCAGACAAGAAGGAACCTTTCAGTGTACAGCTGTGTCCTCAACACAGAACAGGCTGATGAATCGTGCGAGGAAACTCACAACCCCCAAATCGCTCCAGAGAAACTCTGCAAAACGGGAATAGTGCTGGGCACGGATATTGCTCTTGCTGTTGTTATTGTTGATATTGTTCTTGTTGTTGTTGATGTTGTTGTTGTTGTTGTCGTTGCTGCCGCTGCTGTTGCTGCGTCATTGCTGTGGTGCTGTTGCTGTTGTTGTTGCTGGTGGTGCTCGTCCTTATATTGCTGTTGCTGCCGCTGTCGCTGTCGCTGTCACCGTCGCTGTCACTGGCACTGCTGCCGCAGCTGAGCTGTTGCCGTTGCTGTTGCTGCTACTATTGGTGATGCTGTTGCTGTTGCTGCACGACTACTTACGACTACTACAACCACTACTTCTTACACCACCACTACGACTACGACGACGACTACCACTGCGACGACGACTACTTGACTACGACTGCGACTGCGACTGCGACTGCGACTGCGACTGCGACTGCGACTGCGACTGCGACTGCGACTGCGCCTGCGCCTGCGCCTGCGCCTGCGACTGCGACTGCGACTGCGACTGCGACTGCGACTGCGACTGCGACTGCTGCTGTTGCTACTGCTACTTCTGCTGCAACTACGACGACGAGGACTACTACTTTAATGCTGTTACTGCTACTGCTACTCCTACTGCTACTACTACTACTACTACTACTACTACTACTACTGCTACTGCTACTGCTTCTACTGCTACTACTGCTGCTGCTGCTGCTGCTGCTACTACTACTACTACGACCACTACTACTACTTTGCTACCGCTACTGCTACTGCCACTGCCACTGTCACTGCCACTGAATTATCTGAGAGTTGTGTCAAACTCCTGCTTATGAACTTAGTCTACAACATTGCTGGTTCCTGGAACTTTGACCCCCACGACCAGGAGCTGGCATGGCTGTTTTTGCAAACAGTTCAACCTGGAGCACTTGGGCGCAGGCCCAGTGTGCACAAGTGACCAGTCCACTTGCCTTGGATCTGTACCTGCGCCGAGAGCCCGAGAAGCTCGCAAGCAGCCGACCAAGGATTGGCATCCGGCGCACTTAAGCGGAAAGATCTCCGCACAGTAGATCCAAGTGATCGGACCCCAACCTGAATTGACCGGTCACAAGTCACAACTGCTTGCTGGCAAGAAGAACCTGGGGAGCCAGCCGAACGCAAAAGCAAAAGTATGCAGCAGGATTGCGCCTGACCGCCGATGCGCTCAGCAGATGTTTGATCACAACCGGGGGAGCGCCTGCTATCACTGCTTTTGTGCCTTCACCACACTCACTGGCATCGACTGCCTCAGGCTAACCCTTCAAACACGTGCGATGCGAATATCGGAATCGGGCACAGAGCAGAGGCGAGATTTACGGTGGCGCAGCTGCCGGCCTTTGCTTCAACCGGTGCACAAAGCGGACTCCCACCGAGCGCCAGCCGAGCTCTGCACAGCAGCGAGAATGAAGCCTAGCGACCAGTGCGCATTGCACGTGCCCTTGCATTCGCTTCCTGATAACCCATCTCCGTTAAGGAACGCTTTGAACTTATTGGCAAGGGTAGGAATCCTGTCAGCATGACAAGGACCGCAACAACGAGTAGGACATTGTGACATAATTGATAAGCACCCGCGGACCGCAACAACGAGTAGGACATGGTAACATAATTGGAAAACACCCGCTACTTTCCTTGGCGACACGAAAATAAATATCGAATCCCTGAAACGGAAAGCATCATTGTGCGATGTGGTGGATCGAGCCCTGCGACATACTTGCTGACAGGGTGACTAGCATCTATGGCCCCGAAGCGAAGATTCGCGGAGACACACAAGAAAAATGTTCCGCACATCAAGCGTCTTATACAACGAAGGCGCATGAGTTCAACGAGAAGCGGTTCATGACACACTGAAGCAATGTGGCACTTTGCTTTGACATGGACTGTCAGCGCTGGAATCTTCGTGGGCTCCCAACAGCAGGTCATCATGGTGAGGGCGCTGAGGAGAAGCATCTTCTTTCGACCAACTCGGTCAACCAGCAGCATTGCCTGGCTCAGTGTCATAACTCGAAATAAGACGGGAACACCACAGTTGTGGAAGCTCACCGCAATCAGCACACAAGCATGGCCAGGGTGATTGCGAATGGGAAGCGACAGGAACCGACAAGAGTCAGAGTCATTACAGGGAGAGACAAGAAAACACGTGACAGGCCTTAATCTTGAATGAGGCTCAAGCGTCTTATTTTCGTTGATCGTTTGCCAAGTTCTGTGGATTTTGGACCAGGATGGTTTCTGTACTGGGCACACGTCACACGGAGGCGCATGCGCACACACACACACAAACAAACNNACAAACAAACAAACACAAACAAACAAACACGAGCAGGCTACCACGGACATGCCATAGTAAAGCGTTTCGAACCTATGCCTGGCTGCAGCAGCAGCAGCAGCAGCAGCTGCTGCTGCTGCTGCTCCTGCTCAGGTTCCAGGCTGCTGGAACTGAGACTTTCTTGTAGTATGATATGTTGCTTAAGTGAAGCAGCATGAACATTGTATGAATGTGGTGTAGATGGAAGCGCAGCTGCATTCTCTTGTTCAGTGTTAGTTGCCTGAGTATGGAGCACTGAGCAGACATGTCAACTTGCATCAAGTTTGCAATCTTGACCTTCGACTCAATAGAATACTTCGGACTCAGCCTGCAATCATCTCAACTAAGAGCATCGCATCGCACAAAATGCCACGTCGGCTGTAGAGGTATTGGTGGCAAGGCTACAAAACAGGCCAGTCTCGCTGGAATCGTTCCCAACAAGTTGGCAGCGACGAACCTCAGTTGCATCGGATGCCGTGCAGCCTTTGAGACAGACAAGCTCGCTGTGTGCTGCACCAAGGCGTAAAGGAGAAGCCACCTTCTCGAGTGTCGAAACATTTGCTATCGCGCGGATTTTTTGATGTCCGAGATAAGTGTCGAACCGGAGGACTGGAAGACTTCGTTGATGAGCTGCGAACCATGGAGAAGAAAATATACAAAGCCTGATGACACAAGAGGCTCTTGATTAAGTTCTTGTTGTGGTTGTCGGTGCTGTTCTGTTCTTTGTTCTTACTGCCTGTCCGCCTGTTCGCCTTAAGCTGACTTGGCTTCGGTGCGGGCAGGGGAGTTGGGAGGGAGGGCTGCCGCCTCTCCAATGCAGTTCATGATGTAGCATGAGCGACCTCAAGCATTATGAGTTGTGATTACTACGACTACGATACGGACACTGATGTTGTCATTGCAACTGTTGCGAGTGCTTTGAATATTGCTAAAATTCCTATCATCGCTGAAGCCTGTCAAACAGCAATGGCGCAACCCCAAGAGTGCTGTAACACTGAAATGGCTTC